GGAACAGTTTTCTAAGCCTTTTCCAGAAAGAATAAAACGACAGACTCCCTCTCAAGTTATGGAGCCACAGCCCCAATCAGAACTGCTTCAGGTACTTCATTCTTCTTTAAAACAATTTAATTCTAATTTGAAAACTGTTCTCTTCATCATATGGCAACTTAGAGTCAAGAACTTTTATAATCAAAGTCTTTAACTAAAAAAGAAATAAGGATTGGAAACTTTCCTCTTCACTGTTGCCAGGCAAGCAGAAACAAAACTAGAAACCAATTTAGAAGTGGAATGGAGTCACTAGCGAATGGCTGACTAATGTGCACTTCCAAAGAGCCTCCTGTGATCTGTGAAACAGAACATCAAGGAATCTTAGAAATTATCCAAGCCAACCCCTCACTTCACACAACTTGGTTTGGGTGGCCCAGAGTACGGCCCTGGTCTGTCCAAGGTCACAAAAGAAGTTACCAGCAGATGTGAGTTTAGAACTTAAGGTCTTCTGATTCGTCAGCCACTATTCTTTCCACCCCATGCTTCTTTATATTAGATGGAAACAATGGAATCAGAGACCAAAGAGAAAACAAATCTGCTGCACAAACTGTAAATGGTTGTCAAATTTTTTTTAACAAGTCTAAACTAACAGGGACAGGAAGATCAGAACACTCCCAGTAGAGAAAGATGATGAAGCAGGGCAGGCCATTAGCTTTTCAGATTTATCTTGCACAACTCTCTGTATGCCACAGGGAGATGCCAAGGCCTGAGTCACATGTGAGCTTGTACAACACATAATTTTTGAGTGTTTTGAAGTCACTAAGTCAGTGTAATATTCTAATATATTTGAAACTGTTTGAAAAGAATTACTCATACCATAAATTATTAGTCTTTCACTCCTAAGCAGGATGGAGTGTTAGAAGGACAATGAAGTAATCCAAAGTGAGGTGAAGAGGAACTGAACTAGAAGGATAAACTGGTGACAAAGAAAAACACAGGTACTGAGGATACAAAGGAAAACTGGACAGGACTTGGGAAAACTGCACAGATATAAGGATAAAAGAGAAGAAAGATGAGAGAGGACTAAAGTTTCCTAGATGACTGGGTTCCAGGGGGTCTTTGCGGGAACTTCTGTAGTTAGTCTAATCCTGATATTCTTCTGTTTTTTTCCTAGTAACTAGAATCAATTTATATTTAAAAAAAAAAA